GCCGCGCGCCTCGCCGCCTGGGGCTTTATCCGAGCCGCCTCCCGCCGGCCCCGGCCCCGCCGTGGGCTCCGAAACGACCGGCATCGCCGAGACCCCCGAGGGCCGCAGGACCAGCCGCCGGAAACGGGCCAAGGTGGGTTGCTGCGCCGGGCTCAGGATCTCCGCCTGGGCCTGCCCGGCCTGAGGGAGGCGCTCCCGGAGGCGGGAGGAGGGGAGCGGAAGGGAGCGGAGCGGAGCGGCGGCGGAAGCAATGGCCGCCCCAGGTCGGGCTGCTCGCCAGGAGGTAGAGCCCCTTCTTCTGAGAGCTCCCCCGACCTGGTGAAAAAGCTCCCTCCAGCTCGAAATATAAAATTAGGATGGGGGGGTCGCTTGGTGACCTTGAGCTTGACCTTTCAGGCGGGCCTGCATTGCGGGGGTGTTGTGAGGGCAAAATGGGAGAGGGGCCTGCATTTCACCTTGAGGTGGGCATAGGGCTTTTTCAGCTTGTGTGTCATTACGGTGCTATTTCTGCAGACATTTTCCTCGTTTTCCCGTAGACTGCCCCGTCCAAGACAAGAACTTTAAATGAAAGGGGCATTTCCCTAGACAGAGATCAATGTGTTTTATTTTCTTTGTATTGAAAGCTTATACAGGTTTCCAAAGATTGCTTTGTAGTTTAAATTTACAAGGACTATAAAGCACATTTCATTGAAAGCAAATTCTGTCTGGTCCTTATAAAAACTTGTATTGCAGTAAAGCTCTTTCATCCCCCAAAGCTGTTTCTGCTTTTTTTTTTTTTGCTGGCCTGCTATCCCTCTGCATATTGCATCCTTATATCACAAACTTCTGTTGTAGTGTAAACCTATCGAAATGGATTGAGATTCAAATTAGAACATTAAGATGTTGATGCTAAATTAACTCATACATTTAGGAATATAACTTGTCCTAGAGAAGGAGGATTGCAAATGTGTTTTAATGTTTTATTAATTTCACAAAGCGTTAATAATTGTGATATTAGTGATCTTCATAAACAGCTTCATAGTTGCCATCTTTGGCCAGAAAAGCACTATAATGTACCTTAAAATGCATTATATATTTCTCTTTGAAGATACATTTCCTGTTTGATATTTTAACTGTTTGCTAAATATCCTGATAAAATGTACCTATTCTTAAAATGTACCCATTCCAAAATCCTTTAATGTCCCCAACTCTCATAAAGTGGTGGGCAGTTGGGTATGCTTTTTAATACTTGGATTCTTTTCTAATGTCTCAATTGTTTTATGGGTGGGGTCATGATACAGTTGTTTTCCCATGTTCCTTTTTTTGCTGTTTGCAAAATGACTTACAGAATGTTGCTGTCTGAGTGGGAAAAAAACTTTGGAGCTTCCAGAATTCTTCCCTGCCTCTTAGGAACAAATATTATTGTTTGTGTTATTGCTGTTTAAGATTGAGGCCTTGAGTAAAAACAAATGTACTGAAACAGTTCTTAGTAATTATGTAATTCCATATTCTTTTGATATCTTGTGCTATACCTCTTACGATTTCTGAGCAGTTTTCCTCTGTGCCAGGTTTGAGGGGAAAACTTAGAGTTAATGTGAATGTGAGGTAGAACGTGTGTGAGAATATGAGAATGGATTGCAATCCCTTGCGATCTGAGAATAATATAAATGGGAGTGGGGAGTGGCTGTGTATATTATCTTTAATAATATTAAGCCCCACTTTTAAGCACACTCGTCCCAAAATCAGACTCAGTTGTTGAACATGGTTTTGAGTAAATATTTCAGGATTGTATGGAATATTGGAGTTTGCATATCATTATGGAATGTAATCAAATTCTTAATCAAAAGAGGCTGGTATTTAACAGTTTTGAATTTGTATACATGTAATCAAATTACTTAAATAACTTATTTTACATGCTGCTTTGGAATCTGTAGTGACCGAGTGTGGATTTCTTCCCAGAACACATTATAGGGCTTGATGATCTTATACGGATAGTTCTGACTTTTTCTGTGATGTATTGCATCTTTTATTTAAAGCCCCTTCAATTTTCTCAAGACAATTTGCATTCAGTGTTTATGGTATTACTCATCTCTCCCACAGCCATTTACTTGATTGGTCACCATTTTTTCTGGCCAACTCCAATTACAGGTGGAATACAGAGAAATGGATGAGAGCCTTGCTAACCTTTCTGAAGATGAGTATTACTCTGAAGAGGAAAGAAATGCTAAAGCAGAGAAAGAGAAAAAGCTACCGCCTCCCCCTCCCCCCCCACCTCCTGAGGAAGAGAATGAAAGTGAGCCAGAAGAGCCATCTGGTGAGTGGAAGGTCCCCATCCAGCAAGGCAATGATTATTTTATGCCTGAGATATCTGTGCTTCTTTCAAGGCAGCACAGAGAGGCATATAGTCTAATCCTTGAGTTCACCATAGGTTTTGCCGTGAAACAAAGAAAAAAAGTTATTTTTATTAATTTCCTTTTCTCTTTAAATATAGTCATATCATTTAAATACTGCATGTTATCATATTTTAGTTACTCAGTGAGATAGAACTGTTGGGCATTGTTTAGTAAAATGGTTCATCTATTTTAACACCAGGACTTTTGAACGGTCTTGATTTTATAAGTAAAGAAAGTTAAATTTTTGTGTGAACTGCTCATAGGTTTTTTTCCTCTACACTCTATTAATTGCCAGAAATTCTGTTTCAGAGAAAGAGTCAGCATTCTGCAGTCTAGGAAAGTTCCTAGCTGGATATTTCAAAGTAGGGCCTCTGTTTTTTTTTTAAATTCTAGCTTTGCTAAGATCTAACTACATATATAGTATAATGATAACATTGTGTCATGCCTTATGGTAAAAGAGTTGGCATAAATCTGCTTTTTTTTTTAACAACTTTATCTACCCTACATAGCACACTGTTGGTAGCTGTGGCAGCTTTTCCTGCAGTTGAATTTCTAAACCTATTGTTTCGATTAAGAAGATGGCATCAAATGAGGAGGTATAATCTAGTAGATACCACAGTTTGGTTTTAGACAATTGAATATATCCAGGTTTAGTCATTCTTGGGTTGTTGAATGGTACCCAGTTGGTCTGTTGAATGAATTTCATAAAATTAGATAACAAGTCAGTATATTTAAGTGTAATTGGAGTTGCATAAGTAGGTTTCCTGTTGAAAGATTAGTTTTGTGTTACTTGGTTATATCATCTGTTGAGAAGACATGACTTGGTGGCATTTCTAATCCATATATTCTCCAACTTTCAATGTTAATTCATTTGCTGAATTGCCAATTGCATTAGCAATTTGGGTTGCTATTCTGAATTAAGGGATGCAAGCCTTGGTTTTTGCTGCTAGATATTTTTGCCAGTGGGTCTCTGTACCAGAAATCATTTGTATCCCTTTTCTGTTTAGTGCTGGGATTTTTTTCCTCCTTCTCTGATGCAGAGAGACACTAAAACTTGTCAACTGATAGGAGTGTAATGATAAACAGGGTTAGCAGAAGTGGTGAAAATGCAGTTAATAACATGCACTTATATAGGTAGTACATAAGTACAGTCTTTCCATACAAACATTCATTCCAGGGTCACCCAAGCTCCTTATTTCAGTGTGTAATATAGGGCAGGCTATTGGGAAATAATTGGGAGTCTTGCTGACCTGTTGCAAACCTACCAGAGATCTACCAATAAATCTAAATCTGTTTTACTCTCATCCATGTCCTTTGTATTCTGTGTTATATATGTAGATATTTCAGAGATAGTAAGAGAGAATATGCAGTGAAATCTGAATATTTTGTAGGCACAGATGTATCTCCGAATTGCATATCTGGGAAGGGATTTAACATTAGCATTATTTGCTAATCTGTGTACTGTATGATTCACAGGATTATACAGTTAGTTATTTGAACTGACTTTTTACACAGAGATAAGAGGAGGCACAGTAATTGTATAGAGCATGTAAGCTTCTGCTAGTAGGAAACTTTCACTGACAGTTTAAGGTAAATTTCATTAATTAGGGATTTCAACCTTGGTCTTTGAATAATGTAATCAGTTTTGACTACTATGTATCTGGTACTGCTTATTAAAATCTGCCCTTACTACTTTGTGGTAATCTTATTTTTAAAAAAATCTATTTCTACTGATGGCAGAATTAGCAGAATAGTATACTGGTTTCATGACTTCTGCAATTGCACTACAGGGTATCTAGTTATTATTTTTATTCATTCTTTGCATTAAAATATTTATTTTCAATCTATTTCTGTTGTCAGTTTGTTTATACATCAGTATAAATATGTCCTTCAAATTTTATCAGAATGTGTGTTCCTTTTCCAGATCCCAAATATTTATTTCATTAATTGATTGATTTCCTGCCTTCTGTTCGAAACTCAAGGGAGTGTACATAGCATTTCCTTCTCCCATTTTCCCTTTAACAACACTCCTGTGAGGTAGGTTGGACTGAGAGGCAGTGACTGGTCCAAAATCACTCAGGAAACTTTTATGGCTGACAGTGGATTTGAATGTGGATTTCCCTGGTGCTAATCTAGTACCCTAACCACTACAAAATCTGCCTCTCTTTTTACTTCTGGAAAAGTTGTATTTCTTCCCTCAGTAGATCTTCTCACAATCATGTGCCTCCTTCTCTTCCTTTCCTTGCTATAGACCAGTGTTTCTCAACCTTGGCAATTTTAAGATGAGTGGCCTTCAACTCCCAGAATTCCCTAGCCAGCAAAAATTCTGGGAGTTGAAGCCCACTCATCTTAAAGTTGCTAAGGTTGAGAAACACTGCTACAGACACTTACCAGTTTAGTACAAGGTGTAGAATGCTTCTTGGTTATTTTCTTTTGAACTTTTATAAAGAGAAGGTAAAACTGCTCTTTTGCCACTTTTTATAGCAAGTAACTAAATACTTACCAGTCTAAACTGGTATAATATTCAAATTTCACTGGTTTTTATGTTGGGTAGTAATTTTATTTTAAGTGCCCCGCAAGAACAATTACCTCTTCATGTAAGACTTCATTGTTCTACAGATTGGTGGGATAGCAAGGATTAGATTAGTTAATTCTTCAAAGCAAAAAATCTGCTTTATGTTTTGTTTAGAAAATTGTATCAGAATACCTGAATAAAACATTTTATAATCCCCCAACTGCATTTCTGTGATTTTTTTCTTTAGTTTATAACAAATAAGAGGAGACTATTCGTTTAAAAGAAATTCAACAGCTTTGAATATATCTCTGACCCATAAATATTTCTGCCTTCTTCCTGTACATGAACACTGGTTTAGAGAAAAAGATGCTGCTACTTTTTTATTTTTGTTAGCAAAGAGTTAAACAAGGCGGGATGGTGGTGGGTTTGCACTAAAGGGTACATGCTTTAATAATTTTGCCATGGAAAAGGGCTGCAAAATGAAATAGGATAAATTAGTTTGAAATATCTTGCAGTAAACATCACAGAGGTTATGAACTGTACAACACAAAAGGCTTCTGTCTTGAATTTATTTTGTTGAGAACAAAAGTAATGCCACGTATAGAAATGTAGGAAGAGAAAGCTGAGTTCGAATGCAGTGAAGTGCCCTGGCTATGAGTGTTGGTAGTGTCAGTGCCTGCAAAAAGGCATTGTTTGAGCATTGCCCTGAACAGCAAAAGAAGGCAATTTACATGCCATTTGCCCAAAAATATGGAATAGATGAATTAAAAAAAAAAAAATTGCAGATGGGTTACGAACAATCAGTAGATGTATAATACAAAATCACAATCTTGAGAAAAGGGGAAGCGCAAACTCCTGATGTTAATCTGTAACTTGGAAAAGATGGGCAAAAGGTGCAGTACAAGTTATTTAATTTAAGGTTTGGAGTGTCTCTCCATCTGCAAATATTGTTCTAGTATGCATCTCTATATATTATCTGTTAAATAATTAAATAATCTTTGTTAGGATTTGAAAGAAATGTGTTTTAGTTCAGTCTGCTCTAATTATACTCATTGCCCTTTTGCAATAAACATACAGCTTTATATTTTACTGAGGTGGTTGTAAGCTGAGAAGGAGAATTGAAATATGCTAATGTTTTTGTTTGGAGGAGGTATAAAGCTTTATTTTCCTACAATACAGGTAATCTACTAATTTATCTTTCTACAACAGAAAGGGTTTACTATACCAAGATTGAGAATTGCTGTTTCACAACTCCCGGCATCCATCACTGCTGGCCACGCTGACTGGGACTATACAGAGTTATAGTTCCGCAATGTTTAGAGGGCTACAGAATTCCCAGCTGTCTCTTATACATCCATACTGTATAATCTTCCTTCCATTTCTCTGTTGATAATTAGAAACCTTGCCATTGTACAACCAAGTCCCTCCAGGTCTTTGCCATTCCCTCTGCATTTTCTGCCCTTGTAGTACTCTTTTCATGCAGTCCCTTTCCCCTGCATGTTTCTTTGCTTGCATTGTCCCTGCCATGGTACTGCATGGTGTGCATTAAAGGGATAAAATGGTAAAAAACTCATGCCTTATCTCACCCCCCTCTTCCTTCAAATATAATAACATCCATAAAACTTGTTTCTGTTTTCTTCTATGTCCATTGTTTAAAAATAGATTCCTCTTCTGTGCCCCAACTCCCCTTTGGTAGCTACTTGAAGGTTGGCTTTTTAATAGGACACAAAGTAAATCATTCACTTCCTATAATGCCTATAACTACCCCTACATCTTCAGATAGAGAAGTGTTTCATCCTGTATAGGTTGGGCTTTATTGCTCCTTTTTGCAAATGAAAGAAAACCTCGAGAAGAATTGAGAGCTTTCTTCAAAATAAGGGGTAGTTTTTCTCTTATTCTGAAAAAAAGCTTCTCTCAATTCTCCCTAGTAAGGAGATGCTGCTGGTTACATGTTCTTTAAAGTGATTTTACTCTGAGTTAGGATTCCCCCTCCGCCCAATTCCTTATTGCTAATGCAGAAAAAGAAAGCTAATGAGCAAGAGGAAAATTATATTTTCTGTTTTTGGGCTTTATGGCAAAAGGAACACATTATTACTTTTTGTTTCCATTAGCTTTTTTGGAACAGGCAGTGAGAAAGTTGGTGCTTCTTGTGGAAGCTCAGCTCATTGTGGGTGGAAAACACTCTCCTTTTTGTCTCATCCAATTGTGCTTCTGCTTCCTGAAAAGTCCTGATGGGGAAAGAAATTAACAGTTCAAGTACAAACATCCCTTTCTTCCCTTGGACATGCCATGGGACTCAGGAAAGCAAACATTTTTTGGCTGATAAATCAAGGCAAAATGAATTAACACAGTATAGTGTGGTATATTTAATGTAAAATAGTTATCTAACAGTGGTGCTCTATAGCCCTTAACTCAGCAAAAATGGGCGAGGTTGTACTATGTTCTGGCTGGACCAGAATCACTAGCTCAGTCCTGATAGTTTCTTGTCTCAGTCAAGGATGCTGCTGTAATATGTTGTGCTTGAGTCTGAGTAAATTCTCTTGCACTGACAAGACTGGGTAGACCTTAAGTTATCCATAGGGTTGGAACTTCCAGTGTAAGACTGTTTCGATAAAGGCTACCAGTGAATAGGTGAATTATATAATTGTATTTGCAAGTCTTCTCTTCTGAAATGAGATATACAGTAGAAGAAGCAGTGCAGATTTATTTCAGGTATCATGCTTATAGTTTAGCCTGTAGGAATGAGCCTGCCCCTTCTCCAGCATTGGCTGAAGAGGTTTAAACAAACCAAATTCATTATTCTGTCCTGCAAGGAGAAATTGTAGTTTATTGAAACAACCCAAGATGTTTCTTCTTCTGAGTTGCTTCAACAAATTATTCCTTGAAGTATTCACCATTATTTAGATACCAGTTTTCTTCTGGAATTGGCCAAAAGTGGAAATGAGAATAGCAGGCTCATTCCAATAATGCTAAATTAAATTATACTTCCTGATAGTATTGTTTAGCTAGACCAATTTTTAGATGGCCTCCTGCAAGAAGATTAGCCTTTTGGATGCCTCAGATAGTTTTGTATGTACGCTTAGGTGGAGGCCAACTTTATTTAAGGCTTCCTTCAGGTGTAATTTACCTCCTGCTTCTTTCTCTGAATAGGTTGAAAGCTTTAATACTGTAGGGTAATTCAGTGATTGTTGAATAAATATGACAGTGTTGCATGTCATGGTGAATCCTAGCATAATCCTAGCATTTAAGTACTTGAAGGGTGCATAAAGTCAGCCTTAGAAAGTAAGAGATTATGGAAAAGAAAGAAAGTATATCAGACTTCTTGCCCTTTAAAATAATATATGTTTCCAAAGACATCCCAACCAAGATTTTAAAAATCCTTGGTGTTTCAAACCCTTGGTTAGACTACTCAGCTAAATAGTCTTCCTAATTATACTAGGAAGTATACTTTTTATTTTGTTATCTGTTAATACATTGGTTCATGAATATTTACCCACCAGGTGCCCTGAAAATACTGTGTATATCTATTTTCCCCTATAAGAGTCTGACAAAGGGTTCCAACAACAAGGATGAAGCATTAGAAGACTGGAGAGTGTATGAAGCCCGTACCTCAGATTTCAGAAGTTGAAATTCTCAAAAAATGTGTTCCCATTAGTTGGTGAACTTCTAAACTTGAATCACCAACTGTCAGGCCTTCCTGTCCCCAAATGACTTGAACTTATGGAGAAAGGTCCCTGAGATCTCCTCTTTCCTTCCACAGGGCAAGCAGGAGGACTTCAAGACGACAGTTCTGGAGGGTATGGAGACTGCCAAGCATCAGGTGAGGGTGGCGTTTGATGCTTGCCACTTAGTAGCAAGAGCCCCCAAATCAGGGATTGATGCTTGCAAGTGCATGTGGGTGGGTGGGCCCAGACTTTAATTTGAAGTACAAGAGACATGCATTTGCCTATTGAAAAAGAGAAGAAAAACTTCACATCCCAGCTGGTGAAGATGATGGGAAAAGGGAAGCATTCTGAAAATTTTAGGCAGAATTCACAACCCTCTGCTGTTCCATGAGTTTGGTGGAAATCAGAGGCCTTTGTTTATACAATTTAAAAGGCAGTTTCCCTCCCTCCTTTCAGAGCTGTAGGCCTTTTACATTACACACTGTAATTCTGCATATGATTCTAAAGAACAGCTGACTCCTTAGTTAATTGCCATACACTTTAACCAATTTGGGTTGCTATCTGTCTTACCTTCTGATTATAAGCCTCACTGAGGAGAGATAGACTTATTTTTGAGTAAACATCAACAGAATTGTGCTGTCAATTTAGGGAGTGATCATTAATCTAGCTTCGTTTCTTTTTGACTACCTTTTTGAGATCTTTTGATAGAAATGGTAATCTCAGTTCCAGTTGATGCATGCAGGCTAGAATTTATGTATCTAAGGACAGATGTGGTCAATTTAAGGCGCAGATTATTTCTCTTTGGTCTGTTTTCAGAGCAATGTAGCATATGTTTAATTTTTAAAGCCTTACCTGTTTAAGTGAGTAGTGATTTTGGATGTACATGTTGAAGAGATAAAAATGTAGATCTTGAAATAAATTTATTTGGACTGTCTTGCGAGTGTTTTGAAGTATAGATTGGTTTTGAAACTTTGGGCAGACAGATCTGTTAAGTGCTGTTATGCTGCAATGATGAGGAGACTTGGCAAGCCTGACAAGAATTTAAGGTCCAACTACTAAGTGTTTATGTGCCAGTATTAGACATTTTGGTTTCTTTGTTCTTTTTAAAATTTCAAGAAGGTGGTATGTGTATATCTTCTGGAATTAATTTAAGTTCCAAGTATCAATGGTTCAGAATCTGTGATTTTTATTTGTATTCTCTTCTTTCTCAAAAGAATTTCCCAGTTCTGGTGCCCTCCAGATACCCTGAGTAATAAATGATCCTCAGTCATCACGGCTATTTGGCTAGGAATGATGAGACAAGTGATGAACACAACTCATCACAAATGATGAGACAAGTGATGAACACTTGGATGGCATCAGTTGGGAAATATTATCTTAGACAACATATCTAGATTTTCCAGTCAAGCTCAGGTACTCATGAGGTCCTTTATAGTTTAAGGAATGGAAATATACTTTTGTATTGTTTTCTAGGCAACTTTGGGGAAGGCAAGAATTCCAATAGTTAAGTCAAATGTATGCTTATATTAGGACCACAGGAGTGTCAACTTCCAATCACTATATTCAAAGTACTGTACATTTGTGTCAGTGACAGAGATGAATGTGACAAGTTCTTCCTGCTAAGCCCTGAATCTTCCTTTCAGCATATTTTCAATCCACAACAGTGTGTTTTTGTGATCTGCATGTTCCTTTGAAAATCAGAGAATACAGTTAGGCTATTACTTAATTACATTTTGAATTACTCTTGGGTTGTTATTTACTTGTTCAAAATAAAAGTGTTAAAATATTAAGTAGTAATAGTAATATTTTATTTAGCTGTCTTTCATACACCAGTAGGAAGTCACTCTTAGTTGAAATGTGAAAGCTGATCATCTTATTGGACAGAATATAGCAAAAGATAATTTGTCGGACTAGACCTAAATATCTATTTTTGTGTTATGAGATTGACTTCATCTGTGTTACATCCAAGGATTATGTAAATGTTACAACGGCTAAATAAAATATGCAGATTTATACTCATGCATATAATACACATTTCAGTTTCTGCCTTGCAATTCCAAGCTTTTGTCTACAGGAGAGCTGATGATAGAAAATAACATTTGAGGCACATTTGTTACATGGTGTGCCAAAGAAAAATATTCAGCTCTTGCATTCATATTGTGGCTATACAGAGCTCTTGTATCTGTAAAAAATGGGTGTTTTATCAGTTGTGTTTCCTGAAGGTGTAAGTTGTAGTTGAAAGAGCTATTTGCAGACTTTTGGAATAGGAACAATTTATAGAAGAACAGGAAGCTGGATGAGTTGCTCCATGGGTCTGGTCCAGTGCAAAGCTAGTTTTGTTTCATTTATTTAAAAAAATTTCATTGCCACATCCAAATTGCACTTGGATCTTATGGTATAGTTTTAAAAATGCAAGATGTTCTTGGCACTTGATATGTTATGAATATTTAATCAATTTTTAACTGCAGCACAAACATTGCAAGGGCAGTTCAGAGATTTATGTTTTGCACAGAGCAAAAGTCCAACAGGAAGAGAAACAAAGAGCCCTGATTCTTCCCGTGGTTGCCGACCATAAAGAATGGGTAGTATTAACTCAGGCCTCCGTTTATGTATTAGAGTTAGTTACTGTTGTAGACCCACATCATACATGAACATATGTGAAACCATAATACTAGGATTTTGTACATAGATAGGTACTATGGTGTGGTTTCCTCCTATGTTCAGCTCTAGTAAGTAGTCAGACAGAATTATTTTGTAGTGTCACATAAATCATAGCTCAGTCCTGCTCCTATTTACATTTTTCAGGGCAATTAAAATATCCCTGATTTTCATTCTGAGGTGCTAGAGTTCCTCAAGGGTTATAATTTAAAATATATAAGCTGATATATTTGGTGTAAGTCGGCATGCTGATATTGGAAATCTGATATTACTTATTCAACAGTTTTGGCTTAGTGGACACTTCTAAAAACCTTAGAGGGTTAGCCAAAAACATGCTTGGGTTTCCACCCAGAAGCTAGAAAGTGGATTGAAAGTCTGATTTCTGATATAGCACATGAGGAGCTTGTGTGACCCTGTCTTGATCATATCTTGCCAAGAATCTCCTTGGCAGTGTGCCATAGGAAGACATAACCTTGGCTAGACATAAAGGGAGCAGCTGATAAAACTTGAGTTTTTACTTCAATTTCAGTGCAGCTTAGTATTTTAGGCATTCCTGAAAGTACCCAGTTAGCATGCTTTTATCTTGTGACAATACTTATTCTTTGTATAAAAGAATGAAGTCACAGATCTTTGCAGATCTGTCTACCTCCTCCTCAGCTCATTTCACCAGCAGACAGGCCAGCAGAAAATTAGGAGGAAAGGAAGAACTGTGTGGGAAATTAATTAGTGTAGCTGTCCAAATGCTTCATTTTAAAAACCATGCTAAATAAAACTTTCTTATTGCATAGTTGTGACCTGCTGTGAAATCAGCACTAGTCAATCTTCTGTATCCTGTTTGGATGTTAAACAGTGTGTAATAGTTAAGAAAAAAGCTTCATCATTGTAGTTCCAAATGTCAGCAGTTTAAAAAGAATAAGAAAACGGAATACCATGAGGGAAGCAAGTAGAGCACTGGTAATAATAGTGGAACAGTGTGGAGAACAGGAAAGGGAAATTGGTTCCCCCACCCCCTCCATTACATGCTGTAACCCAACATTATGATTCCATTTCCTTTTTCCTCATTGGTGAGTGTCTTTTAATAATATTTCTCTGGCATTAGTGATCCATAAGATGAAGCCATCACAGATTTCATAAGATGTTGTTCCTGAAGTAGGTTTGCCACTGGGAAATACTTGTTTTGCTATTCAGCCTAAAGTATTTACAGTGCTAGTCTCTCAATATCTGCATTAGCTTCATGCCTCTTACACACATAATTGGCTTTATAGATAGCAATATGAAATGACAAATCATATTTATTTCCTGTCTGAAATCAAAGGTTTCTAACCTTTTCAATCATTTTTTTAGTATAGAGGAATTCGTCTTAAAGAGTACCAAATCCTCTTTTAGCAGTTTCCTTTCCAAAGTAGTAATACTATGTGTTTGTAAATATTGAAATCAATAAAAAGTGTATGAGTTTCTTTTAATCTCTATAAACTCTGTATTAGCAAAATAACATCAGTGTACTATTGATCTTTGGTGCTGTTAGCCCTCAAGGTTACAGTGAAATTATTTACAATATATAGGCCAGCCTTCTCCATCCTGATGCTCTAGGTATTTGAACCTCAATTATGATAATCCCTTGCTAGTAAGGTAAATGGCCATGGCTGAAAATCTGAAGTTGACTTGTTTCTCCAAAGTCTGTTTCAATTAAGTTTTTGTGCTTTAGCGTCCATTAGACATACAGTCCATTCACAAAATAAAACTGTAGATCTGTAAGGAAAACAGTATTTTCTGTTCTTACTGCTGTAAAAAGACATACATTTGCAAATATTTACTGGTATTAGGCAAATATTAAATGGAATTCAATATGCAACTCTAAATATTGCTAGTGGAATAACCCTCAGTGAAAACATTGAGACTCAGAAGTGAATAAAATGCACTGGATTGCAGTGTCAATTTTCTGAATTTAACTACATATATATCTGAATGAAACAAAATAGTTGCAGTATTAACTAATTAATAGCAGTGAGCAACATTTAGCCACCCTTCTGGAGATTACAGAAGATTTATCAGTTTGAGGAGAGCAAATTCTCTTCTTTCAGATTACCATGGCTGTGCGCTAAAAGGGGCAGAATTGGAATTGTCTGTTAGACCAAAGAAAAAAGAGAATGCAGGAGCACGTGTAACACAGCCTCTATTTTCCCTGTTGGTCCAGGGCAGTATTTCTCAACCTTGGTAACTCCCAAAATTCCCCAGCCATTCTGAGAGCTAAAGTCCACACATCTCAAAGTTGCTAAGGTTGAGAAACACTGGTCTAGGGCATAAATGAACTTGCACAGGAATATTACTGAATCTTTATTCCAAGAATTTGGAGAGCAGAGCATTGAGTTTGGCAAGTGTGAAATTCTTCTTTGAAATGGGCATGCAAGGTTGAACAGATAATTAGTGTAGGAGAATGGTCTTGCAGTCAAGCCCATTCCGTAGAAGAAAAAAGAGTGTTATGGAGGACCTGTTGCTGCAGCTCCAGTGCAGCCTTCTCAGGGCCAAATGTGGTAAAATGCTGAACAGCTGGACAACCCAATTTTAGGTCCAAATCTATGCCATCCTAATATGTAATTATCCTACAGGATTAGAAGAGAAATATTGCCAAAGACTAATTTAAGGCAGAATCGGAGGCAGTAGAACTATATATAGATATATAGATATATGAGCTTTATAGAAAGTAGTCCAGTCTCCAGATGTAACAAACACTTGGAAACACACCCGGAGAGTTATAACAAGGGTTTAAAACGTTCAGAGCAGACTAGTTCTCAAAAGCTTGAATTAGGGTAATTACAGATCTGTGGGCTAAATAATGGGGGGCTGATTGCCTTTGGTCTGAAGATTTTTATTGCTGTGGGTGCATAATTGCTGCCATTACAGTAGCCATAATGTAAACTGACATTTGCAAGTCTGTGGATCTGGAGAGAAAAGGCTGTCAATTCTTTCCAAATTGCTGAGGATTGAAAGGAAGTATTCAGGTATTTAAATATTTTAATTTTTCAGTAGAGAATTCACTAATTTTCCAAGAGGAATGATAGATGCCCGGCCTTTTCCAGGAAGCAGTTTTTGTTTTGTCATAGCAAATTATGTCTTCCCACTTTACAACAAGAGGCAAATGCTTGGAAATTCTCTTTCAAGCCCACATGAGTTGTCAGGAGGATAGCTGCACCATCAGTGGAAAAAAGAAAGAAGTTTACTGACTAACTTTGGGAGGATGAAACTCAAGATTTTGTCAGGACTAAAACTAAAAAATGAATATAGAAATTAAAAAGGGAGCCAGAATGAATCTTTGTTCTACCCCTTTCTAGATGGGAATTGAAGGCGAAAGAAAATCAACAGTGCCATAGTGGATCAGCATAAAAATATTCTCATGCAGTCTCACACGAAAGAAAAGAAAGCACCAATCAATAGAGGAGGCAGCTTCCACCTTTAAATCAATAAAAGTAACATAGTGAGAACCTCAAGGGTAGTCAATTTACTTATATTTATTATTTATATTTATAATTTCAATTTTTAAGGCCGCCTACTCACCCATGAAGCCTGCAAGACAATACCCTTGTTAAGTATTGGCTGCTCCTCTTAACAAGCTTCTCATTTATTAGTGAGAGAAATGAGATAGTACTTTTGAATAAAGATGTTTAGAACTAGACTGTAAGTTGAAGTCCTAAGCTTTCTTATTAGAGAGTAAATCTTCCTGAGATAAGAAGCCTGCTTCTAGGTAAACTAGGTTAGGTGTGCCCTGCAAAAAGTGCAGTAGGATTTAGAGGACTGTCATCCAGTTGAATTAACAAAACTGAGAGATTGGATTCATTTTCGTTGCTCAGCTAACTTTGCAGCATTTGCCAACGTCTCAACCAATACTTTTAAAGAAAACAAAAATTTGTATTTAGACATGTGCTTAGAATGTGTTGTCAACAAGGCATACATTAAGAGATGTTCTTCCTGTGAAAGAGTAAAGAGAATACATCTTCTAAGACTACCTATTTCTGTAGCTTTTGCACTGAGTAGCAAGATCTTGTTGTTCCAGGTGCTTTTGCATACTTGTCACATGCTTGTTCTTTCATTGTAGGTGTGGAAGGCGCAGCTTTCCAGAGCAGGCTTCCACACGACCGAATGACATCACAAGAAGCAGCTTGTTTTCCAGATATTATCAGTGGGCCCCAGCAAACCCAGAAGGTTTTTCTTTACATCAGAAATCGAACGGTATGCTAAATATTTCGAGCTCAAATACTCTTTTTTCCTAGACTGACAAGGTCTTCCAAGCAGTTTTGGATCTCTCCAAACATGTACTTTGTAGTTTTGTGTTTACTGAATTACTTCTAGTGTTGCTCTGATCATATGTAGAAAACTGTGGAGCAGTTTTAAATTAAATTAAACAGCTTATTTAATGCTAATTCTGATGGCACGTGGTGAGAAATTTCCCTTTGTTAAGAAGAGTAGCCATAAAATAAGGGAATCAATTGCCATGTTTTAGCATGTAAGTAATGTATTCCACAAATATAGCCACACACATTGAAACTCTGCTTCTACTAGTCCCTTTCTGTGCTCTTTCCCTCTCCCTATATATAGTTCAAATGATTTTCTGCTGGCACCTTTTGCTTGGTTTGGGCAACATTTTGAAATGAAAAACCTGCAGCTCTTATTATTTAAGCTGAGGATGTGGTTTCACAATTGGTTGCTCAAAATCAACTTAGAAAATAGTATTTTCCGCACTAGGGAAACAATGCTGTGGACTTTAAGGGTACAAGTAAGCTTAAAATGTTGCTTAATGATGGGCTGTGTTTTGTGGGAGATGGAATTCACTACTGAAGGGAGGAGGTAGTTATAATTTGTATATTTTGCAATTTCTCTTCAAATTATTGGGGTAACATCATTGACTTCAATGACACCATTAACATCATTGGCAGAATTTATAGATAAAGTACTAAGCATATAGTTTGCCATGGTGGGAACAGAAATATAATCTTGTTTGTCTTCTCCCAATCCTAATGGATTCTAGAAGGTTTACAGATATTAAACTAAAATTAAAATTACATTTTAACATTTCAGTAACAAAATTATAACAGTACAAGCAGTCTTCGGGTCACAATGGTAACTGGGACCAGAATTTCCCTTGCTTAGTGATGCGGTCGTAAAGTATGACATCATGTAACTGCATTGCTTAGCAACAGCAATCCTGGCAGTCCCCATTGCCATCGTTAAGCAAGGATCACGGGTCGTTAAGCAAGGACCTCAAGTGACTGTGACTTGCAACTTCCTGCCGGCTTCCAGCAAGC